GGATGAGGGCTCTCGCAAGGGTGCAAAAGGCCAGGCTCCACGCGGCGGCGGGGCCCCATCAGTGCGGCGTGGGGCGCGCCAACGGGGCGGACCTGGTCTTGAAGCAACTACAGGCGCAGGCGGCGCGACGACGGAACGACGCGTTCATCAAGGTGGACGTGAAGGCCGCTTTCCAGAGACTGGAGCGGGGGCCGGCCATGGAGACCATGGCGGAGCATGTGCCGGAGGTCGCCCGCGTGCTGGACACGTGGAACAGGGGCCCTGCGACCCACCTCTTGCGCGACGCGGCCGGCAACTTCGAGCCGGTGGAAGGCGCCCGGGGCTCCGACCGCGGCGACCCGCTGGCCCCGGCCGCCTACGCCGTCGGCCAACGCAAGGCCCTGCAACCCTTCCTGGAGCACCTCGGCGCCCTCGACCCAGAGACGAGGATGTACTCCTACCTGGGCGAGAGAGAGTGCTTGGTTTTCCCGGCGGGCCGTACTAGTACGCCAGAGTACGCCTACTAGTACGACCCGGCGGGTCGTACTAGTACGCCGAAGTACGCCTACTAGTACGACCTGCGGCGCCCGAGAGGCGCACTCGCAGAGCAGAAGTACGCCTACTAGTACGACCCGGCGGGTCGTACTAGTACGCCGAAGTACGCCTACTAGTGCGGCCCGCGGCGCCCGGGAGGCGTACTCGTAGGGCCGAAATACGCTTACTAGTACGACCCGGCGGGTCGTACTAGTACGCCGAAGTACGTCTACTAGTACGACCCGCGGCGACCGGGAGGCGTACTCGTAGAGCAGAAGTACGCCTACTAGTTCGCCCCGCTGGGTCGTACTAGAACGCCGAAGTACGCCCGCTAGTACGACCCGCGGGGCGAAGGAGGCGTACTCCTAGGGCCGAAGTACGCCTGCCAGTACGACCCGGCGGGTCCTACTAGTACGCCGAAGTACGCCTACTAGTACGACCCGCGGCGCTCGGGAGGCGTACTCGTTGGTCCGAAGTACGCCTACTAGTTCGCCCCGCTGGGTCGTACTAGTACCCCGAAGCACGCACGCTAGTGCGACCCGCGGGGCGAAGGAGGCGTACTCCTAGGGCCGAAATACGCCTACTAGTACGAGCACGCCCCCGCCAGACCCCTCTGGACCGTACTGGTAGGCCAAAGTAGCCCTACTGGTAGCCTCGCCGGGGCGGACTTTCGAGGATGTCTCGAGCGGGGGCCCTCTCCGCCGGTCGTACTAGTAGGCCAAAGTAACCCTACTAGCACGCCCCCGCCAGCCCCCCGGGGCCCGTACTAGTAGGCGAAAGTAGCTCTACTAGTAGCCCTGCCGGGGCGGACTTTCGAGGATGTCTCGAGCGGGGGCGCCCTCCGCCGGTCGTACTATTGGCAAAAGTAGCCCTACTAGTACGCCCCAGCCATCCCCCCGGGTCCGTACTAGTAAGGCTACCTCGGCCCTACTAGTAGCCCTGCGGGGCGGACTTTCCAGAATGTCTCGAGCGGGAGCGCCCTCTGCCGGTCGTGCTAGTAGGCCAAAGTAGCCCTGCGAGTGCGCCCCCGTCAAGCTCCCGGGGGCCGTGCTAGTAGGCCAGAGAAGCCCTACTAGTAGCCCCGCCGGGGCGAACTGTCGAGGATGTCCCGAGCGGGAGCCCCCTCCGCCGGTCGTACTAGTAGGCCAAAGTAGCCCTATTAGTACGCACTCGCCATCCCCTCAGGCCCGTACTATCAGGCCCAAAGAACCCGACTAGTAGCCCCCGCTTGGGCGGACTTTCGAGGATGTATCAAGCAGGGGCGCTCTCCGCAGGTCGTGCTAGTAGGCCAAAGTAGCCCTACTTCTACGCCCCAGCCATCCCCCCAGATCCGTACTAGTAGGGCCACTTCGTCCCTACTAGCAGCCCCGGCGGAGCGGACTTCCGAGAATGTCTCGAGCGGGAGCGCCTTCCGCCGGTCGTACTAGTAGGCCAAAGTAGCCCTACTAGTACGCCCCCGCCAGCCCCCATGGGCCGTACGAGTACACCAAAGTAGCCTTACTAGTAGCTCCGCCGGGGCAGAGTTCCGAGAATGTCTCGAGCGGAGGCCCCCTCCGCCGACCGTACCAGTAGTAGGCTCAAGTAGCTCTACTAGAATGCCCCGGCCTAAACCCTCCAACCCCTTCCCTCTGCCCCCTCCCCCCTCTCTCTCTCTCTCTCTCTGTCTCTCTCTCTCTCTCTCTCTCTCTCTCTCTATCTCTCTCTTTCTCTCTGTATTCCTCGCTTTTCCCTCTCTCCCTCCCCCCGATCCCCCCCTTCCCCCTCCTCCCTCCTTCCCACTTCCTCGTCGCCGGCGCTGCCGCCGTCGCCGTCGTCGTCGTCTTCGCCGTCACGCAGCCCCAAGCCGACCCCGCGGAAGCCCCAATAACCACAATTAAGGCGAATCGTGATAAGAAGATTACATCTACGATTCGCACATCGCTCGGCGATGATAAAGTTCAGTCTCGCCGCCCCCTCCGCCGACCAAATGTATCTTTCCAGAAATATC